CAAACTGAAGAAAAGTTCAGAACTGCCAACTCAGACTTAGGATGTGGTGGGTCGATGTGGATCATCTGCCCAACAGGAGTCAAAAGATCAAATTACGTTTGTAAAGGAAGTACAGAATGCGTCTTTGCTGATCCCATCAACAAAGAAACCATTCAAATCAATGCTTTTGAGAGTAATTCCTATGTCAATACAAGAGACTGCCCATGCTCTAAATCAACGGGTTCAGTCTTCACGTCTGGGTGCAACACTAAAATACCAGGCACACTTTCGGGAATGACAATAACAAACATCACCGGCAACTTCAAACAACTCAAGGCAGAGGCAAGTGTCAACTTGGGGTTCAGAACAGTCATCGTGGAAGAACTTATGTTAAGAGGAAAAGTAGTCATATTTTCAGATGAGAAAATTGATAACGACACATTCACAGACGACACCACATACAGTGGAGTTGGGTCTTTAACTGCTACTGTGTTGAACATCTACACCAAACAACCAACTAAATTGACTTTCAATGTGCCAACATCCATTTTGGGAACAAAGTCGAGTGAGACAGCTTCGTTGTTGATACTCTTTACTAAGACTTCTTACATCGGACTTGGTAATGTTAAGAAAGATAAAGAAGAAAATGGAGATGTCTATACATACCTTGGAAATTCAACATCAGTTGCTATCACCGCAGAACAAAAGTCAGAAGACAAAGAAGTTAAATTCACTTTGGAACTTGCTCCTGAAGTTGCGAACTCTGATATCTCACTGAGTGGTAACGTGCCATTTATCATTGATAGCGACTTCATTGCAAGATCTGTTGTTGTGAGCAGAGGAAGTAACAATGACACTATAAATGCACTTCCATTCATACAACTCAAAGAAAGCAGATACTTCTCAGTTGAGTCGTTGTCTGTTATTCCATTGGAGCTCACATCGTATGTAGTGACGTACGCGTCTGACATATATCACGTGAGTATTGCAAATGAGGATAAGATGTCGCAGTCACTGAAGACAGACATAGACCACTCGATGTTGCTGTACAAAACAAGTGCAGACGATGAGACAAGACCACCAATTCTATGTGAGTTGACTGTGCCTGTACCAGAAGAGCCAGACACTCCAGACGTAACACCAACTGCTTTTGTCAAGATGGAAGGCGAAGACAACACAACAACAATTGTGTGTGTTGTACAGTACAACGAGACTGTAGCAGACAACGCAAAGATATACAACAGAAGTGGATGTCCATGCAATGGAAGATACTGCGTGACTACAATAACAGCAGAATACACAGCACTCATCAACGCAACATCAATTGGATCATCCGGTCAAATAAACCAATTCATTGTTCAAAACACAAAAGCAGTTGAAGTTGCAAGTGACATTCTGAACACAAAGGTGATGACAGTCAATGGGGATGCACCAGTCGTCTTCTCGATCGACACGTTGACAGTTGGTAAAACATTTGAATTCAACGCAGACACCGTCAACATGACATTCAACAACACAAAGAAGATGAGCATTGCACCATTCACAATCAACCAACCACAAGACTCAAACAAATCAATCCATGTAGCACTGTACTCACGCAGTTCGTCACTCTCTAACAACTTTGAATTCTCAAAGGTTGATGTGTTTGATGACTTGGTTGTTGAAGATGCAGCAGACAACGAGCGAATGGCACTGTTTGTGACATCGTCTGCATCAACAAACATCACCAACTTGGAGGTGAGCAACGCACGACTCTATCTCCAACAGGGCAAATTCAACATTCTCGACAACGAAGTTGTCTTGCTCATCAAAAAGCCAGAGGCATTCCCACTGATGTTTTCAACTGGTGCTTCAGTCAGTTGGCCAGAAGGCACAATCAAGATCGTTGTCGACCCATCACTCCCCAAAGACGTGCCAATCTTCATCATGAGAGTTGGTCTTGGAAAGAACTTCACAGCTGAAAACGGTGTGAAATTCAGTGTTGTAGAAGGGACAAAAGCAACACATTTGAAGAGCGCGTCATTCTCGTCATACACTGTCAAACAAATCTGTTCGATTTATGTTGCACTTGTGCCAAGCGATTTTGTCGAAGCAGGATATGAGTGCCCAACAGATCCAACTGATGCAAGTGAACAAAACAACCTTGAACCAATTGTCAAAAAGGATGTGCCAACATGGGTCATTGTCATCTTGATCATCATCGGTGTCTTCATTGTCATCATCTTGATCTTGTTTGTCGTATTTATTGTTGTTGCAAGAAAGATCCTGTTGAGAAGAAGAAACCTGAAAGTGTTCAACGACGAAGACAACCTGTTCTTCCAAACAGCAGAATCATCAGAAGAGACAAAAGAAACAACAAAGGAGGAAACTAAAGATGACTCCCAGAAGTCGGACGAGTCTTCTTCGTCATCACTGTCATCGTCATCAAAATCAGACTCAAAATCAGGTTCTGGAAGCAAATCCGCAAGCGAGTCCAAGAGCAAATCAGACAACAAAGACAACAAGTCAGAGAGCACAAACGACGGTTCCTCAGACTAATCAAATCCTTTGCTTCTTTATTTTTTTTATATTACACGTTTTTGTTTTTTAATTCAATTCAATAATATTAAAGTTTATGTTTGAATTTGGTTTGTTTATCAATACAATTGGGAAACTGTTTCAATCAATTAAAAAAATAAAAAGAAATCAATTAATATTTTATTCAATATTGTTTCGTCGGGAAAATGTTGACAGTTTCGAATAAAATAATTGAATTTAATTTTTGAATAAATTTTTCAATAAAACAATCATAATCATAAAAAATAATTAACTTGTTCTCTAATGTATCGTTTTTTCAAATGATTTGGAAATATATAAACACGGGTTAATACTCAAAACTTAATTAATTAAGTGTACTTCCATGTTATTACATTAATTGTTACATAAACATTTAATTGTTATTCTTTTTATTAAAGAATTTCTTCACCTTTTTTTAATTTTGAAATATTTTACATTTGTGACAGTATTTTAATAAATATAACAACTAACACCAATGAATAATTGTGAAGTTGTAATTTTGTGTTTAACTTGTGAAACACAATATATAACTTATTTTTATTTGATATAAAATTATAACCTCAAAATAAATTTAAACAGCTTTAGTTTCAATTTCTTTGATTTTATTGTTTATAACTTTAATAAATTTTGCCCAGATGTATCATTTGGCTCAATTGTTATTAATTCCTTTTTACAACTTTGAAATCTCTAAAAGCAATGAACGTCCTCACTGTGATGAAAAACAACTCAACACCATCAATAAAAGCGTTGACACTTCCAATGGAAACTGAACTTAGAGATCTTCCTATTGTTCGTCCAATACAAAAAAATAAACCGTTCAAAAAAGAAATTGTGGATTATTTTAAAAATAATTTTTTGACAACCTTAATTGGTTCAATAAAAGAAACATTTTATTTTATCAAGGAATGTTTTTTGACGATGTATAAGAAGCCATCAAATGGATTCAAGGCCATTTTCACGCACCCATTACTGTTATCAATTGTGTTTATGGTCAGTAGTGGATTTTTGAATGCGTTGATGATTCCATTTGCTCAAGAATTTCAGCGTCAGTGGCAAAGACAGCATGCCAACATTGTGCTCCACCAATTTGTTTTGGATGATGTTCTATTTGGAATCTTCCCATTTGTGGATTTGGTTGCGTTTGCTGACAAGTACATTGGTTTCTTTGTGGTGATGTCTGCTGTCAGATTTTTCATGACACCAGGGCGTCTTGTTGTTCTTCGTCGTTTTACTTTTCTGATGGGTGTGAACTTCTTCCTGCGATCAGTCTGTTTGTATTTCACATTGCTGAGTGACCCATCACGAAACATTTCTGATGTTGATGGAAATCCACTTCTTGAGACGTTCCTTGTTGCTGGTGGCATCCACATTTCGACGGTCGACAAACTGTTTTCTGGGCACACAGCAACACTGACACTCTGTGGACTCTTTTTGTTGTATTATCACGAAACATACCCACTTTTCTCATCAAAGAAATCGTCTCTTCTGTTTGGAATCATATTCAAGTGTCTTGTCTGTCTCTACGTCTGCTGTGGGCTCTGTCTGTTTGCAGCAGTCAGAATACACTACACAGTCGATATTCTTGTTGGTGCACTCATCTCGTTCCTCGGATTCTCACTCTACCACACCTACATTCTCCTTGCTCATACAAGAGACAATTCATTCAACAAATTCCTCACCTGGTTCGAGGCAGATGCTACCGATATCCCTAAAATAATTTTTATACAGAATGAAGAAGACTAAATTCAAAAAAGTTGTGGTCGTGTTTTT